AGCAGGAATTAGAAACTGCCAGGGAAGGAAAGGGAGAAAGAGAGAGCGAGGATAGCTAACAGTGCAGATAGAAACGGCAGGAAGTGCAGCAGAGAATTACAGTGTATTATGGCAGAGGAGTGTGAAGCAGCAGAGTGGAGAGGGGAGATAATGGACTATGAGGCTTCTCCTCCCTGTACTTTACACCCAGCTACTGTACGCTGTGTGAGCACCAGGCCTGGAATAATCGGTGGTGTAGATATTCACACTCACTCAGCTTGTAAGTGTTGCAACACCAGGGTCAGAAACGTGTTACATTAGTAAACAGTCAGGAACGCACAATATGATTTTCCTTTCCAACCGTGCAGATTACCATGAATCATCCAGTCCTAGGGATCAATGATCATTTCATATTGTCAATTTAATTATGACCTTCGTATGACCTTTTGTTTAGGCAGATAAGAAAAGCTGAGACGGCGGTCTGATCAAACTGCTCGGACTTTTTTAACAGTCATTTTGATAGCAAGTACAAATGTGCTAGTTGCGCTAGTTCCAGTTAGCTTTTTTAAAATTATTTTAGCTCCTGTGCTAATGGATAATTAACCAGATGTACTACTGGTAAATGTGCGAGTGCTAAAAAAGTCAGTTTGTCTCCAAAAAAAAAAAAAAACTGTTTACATATTTTAATTATTTCATAATCTCCATCTTTAATTATTAACTGCCCCATTTCCATTCATTTGCTGAGATATAAATACACTGAAAGAATTTATAAATGTAAGCGCCTTCTTTCTAATGCTGGAATCTGTGTTGACCCACTTCCATGATACAGATGTCTGTGGAAGCTCCGAGGGCAGCGTGTTCTGTGTTTTCAGCCCCCGAAACCCGAGAATTGATGTGTCTCTGTTGAACCGGCCGACCTTCTTATCTCATCAATACAACCTCATTACAGAGAGATTCATAAAGGCCTCCGGGGCGGCGCTCTCTCTGCCATCAAATGTAGCACGAGAATAGATGAATTCTTTATGCTGTATACAGTCACAGCTCACACGCCACAGTCACACTCGCGTTTATGTGCTTTAAGTAATCAAAGTTGCACTCGCCTCTTTCTCAGTGTGCGACTAAAAAACAGCGGCCTTGTTTTAAACCGACTAAAATAGGTGTCTCTTCTGGACCAAGAAACCGTCAAAACACTGACAAAATTAATCACAGCTACACTGAAGCTCTCGGGGAACGGGAGGTACATTTTTAAACACAGCGTTATTGTTGCTGTTTCTTTAAGGGAGAACGTACAGGAAGGAGGAAATAAACCATTTTGATGGTTCATAAGTCTGTGGTGCCGCGACACTTCCCTCTGCCTGGATTTTTTTTTTTCTCTTTTTCTGTGTTTTTTTTTGTTTGTTTGTTTGTTTATCAGTGTTAGCAAGTGAAAATTGGGGGGAAAAAACGAATCTCACAAAGTCTACTACAGGGGTGTCAAACATATGGCCCGTGGGCCAAAACCAGCCCACTTGGGGTTTCGATCTGGTCCACGTGATGAACACTTCATGTTCAGGAAATGTTGCAAAAATATTTTTCACTAAATATGAAAGTTTATCTAATGTACATTATTGTTATTATTATTATTATTTCTTAATATTGATGTAATCCCAATACCCTTTTCAACCTTTCAACTTTCTCCACTTCTAATTCTTTGCCTTATTTGCATGTGGAGGATTTTGCACTAGCTCATTAAACTGAGGTTCAGGTTGGTGATTTAAAATCTTTAGATTCCTCAGCTTGCCCTCGTTATGTCTCCATTCTAAATGAGGAAAGGCACTAATTCCCTTTTGTTCATGCATCTGTTGAATTAAACAAAGGAAGAGCAGAGGAGTGTGAGAGTGGAGAGGAAAACCGTCTGAGATGATATCCACTGGGGTTGTGGAAGGAAGGAGGAAGCAGATTATGGAGGCGTTGAAAGTGTTTAATTAAAAAGTTGCTCCGGCGGGTTGGCCACACTCCGGCTTGCGGCAGATTTACGGGTCTGAATAGTGGCCACAGTCCTGCTTTAATTCCTGCTAAAACAGGGCTAATCCCCCGTTGGTCCACCTGCGCCCAGTGCGAATCAGCAATGAAGGAGGCCAATCAGGAAGAACGACTTTAACAGAATGGGAATGACCCTGGAGACCATGGCAGCAGAGGTCTTTGTCTTCCAACCATTCTGCTCCACGTGTGCTTTTTTAATTTAATTCAATATATATACTGTATATATCAATGTTTTTGAGATTCTTTCACCCTGAATAGAGCTGCAAGTCCTGTTCCTGGGTATGAAAAGACGTGCCTGAAAATATTTTATAGTTGATGATATGTTTTACTCCAATACACATGTTTGAAGCACCTTTAATAATGGGGTTGTCTGCAGCTAAATTTGTGTGTTTGGGTTTGAAAATGTCAATCAATTTTTGTACATTTAAGATAAAGTGTTGAAAACAAAATTACAAAATAACGTGTGTTAAATAAAAAGGTTTAGAGTAGTGGTTGTACCTTGTAAAAATGGTAATTGTTTGGAATTGTTTTCCCGCAGTTAACATAAAAACTGTTCTTAAAAGCCAAATAAAACAGAACACTTAAAACTAGAGATACAACTTTTCCTTATCTGACACTGATACTGCAACTTGAAGTATCTGCCGATACTGATGTCAATCCGATACCTTCTTTTCTCCTCCTGCAGGCTGCTGTTGCTGAGGCGATTGCTTGTTGCTTAAAATTAAGCTGAGCAGCTGGGCCTAGGTATCCAATCAGATGGATGATAGTTGTTTTGTTTATTTTTATGTACGATCCTGAAATTTCAACCAATATCAGATCGATACCGATCCAGTATATCGGATCGAGCCATCCCTATTAAAAGACAAATATAACTTAAATACCCAATGATTTGACAAACCTCTGGAGCCTTGACATGATGTTAATGTCAGTGGATGTTTAAGGACGTGCTGAAAGTTTACAAAGAATAACTGATGATTGAGTTTTTCCAGTCATTTTACCTCAAATCATGAATTTAGATTAGTCTAGATGACTAATGGAACATTCCTTGTTCATGATAAAACGAAGCAAGCTTCCACATCCAACCCATTTAGGACTTGTTTATTTAATTCCAGCCAACAGGTAATTCATACAACCAACATTTAAACTTCAAGTGCTTCACAAAACCGTCCCAAATGCCAGGAGTTTTCCAGCAGTCAGTGAGAAAGAAAACACCCTTCTGGGTATAGAAGTAAAACCAGTGCAGCAAGTCCACTTGAAAACTTCAAAATGGTGATGGACATCCTGATGGGTTTGCGAAATAATTTCAAACACCATGTTTACCAGTCTTCTTGTGGAACAATTCTCCCATGTCCATCAGTTCAAGGCCGTTGACTGGGAAGGAATGACACAAAAATTGTGAAAAACCAGAGGAAAATCAGCGACTGGAGTAACAAAAGGAGCGATTTGATGGAAAACAACAGAAGACACTGAACCACCTACGCATCACCACTGTGAGAGAAAAGGAGGCCGTGTTTGTTCCTCTGTCAATCCTCCACCGAGGTTATCTGTCCTCTGCACCGGACGATCAATGCTTCTGATGTGAAAAGTGTTTCTGATCGTCCGTGTCTTATATCGACAGCGGCCTCCCTCTGTCTGCTGTGGGGTGCTGCACTTCAAAAAGAAAAAACAAATCTAAGATATCGGGGTGATGCGGAGACAAACAAGGGAGCAATTTATAGATCGGGTTTTCACACACACCCACTGCACACTCACACGTAGGGATTGGACAGTAGGGCCTCAGGGCTGTGTGCAGCTGCTGCTGAGGTAATTTGCCAATGTATAAACCCAATATTGAACTCTATTGTTTTACTCTAGAAAGCATAACATGGCGATATGAGCCACATGTATCTCAGTAACTGTCTGAATTAAGGGACTGCAGATGTTAATTGTGATCGACTGTTCCATTTCCTTTACTCTGTCTATGTTTGACTCTTTTTTTCCCACCTCATTTTAAATCTTTCATTATTCATGAACTAACCCTGTCAGCATATTGATCATAATAGGCCTTAAAGTTGACCAAACAGTCTCAGGAACCCGACTGCCCTACGTGCCCCCTTTAACAGAGAACATTCCGGCGGACATGTTTGAGAGCGGTCTGAACATATTTGAAATTTAGCTTTGCTTTTGCCTTACCAACTTGTTGGTTTAAAATCAAAAGGCTTATCCTGTGAACGTAGAAACATCACACACTTCAGAATCTTCCTCGGCAGGGCCTCGATCAATATTTTAATATAGAAATACACACACTTAAATCTATAATGTATGCAACTCTAACTGATTTTTTTTTTTTTATTCCTTTCAGGGAGATTCGTGAATTTGCCAACGGCTCCGTGTGCTTGGAATGTGATAGCCAATGTGAGAAGATGGATGGGAACGCCATGACATGTCACGGACAGGTAAAGCTCACCGGCAGATATCTCACACTTCAACTTCTTTTTCAACAACACAATCAAACCAGAGGGTTTTTTTTTTTAAGATTAAAAGCACTTCTCATTTGTCCGTGTGAGATAAACTCATATCTCCTTCATGCTAGAGTGGATTCTCAATGATTTTCTGGGAGTCCTACCATTTTGCACAAGGGATTTTTAAGAAGATATAAGAGCAGTGTTTGCAAAGGTGAATAGTAGGTTAATAGGAGGAATAAACTGCAGTGGATGTTTCAGTGAAGGTGTGCCACACACATAGAAACACGCAGAAACCCCAGCAAGGATTAGTTTCTGACATTCCAATAAAGTTCCTACATTTCAGCAGATTGGATTTCTTTTTTTTTTACTTTCAAGAAACTGCAACGGCATCATCTAATACAGCTGGCATATAATAATTGAATGAAGGCATAAAATATATGGCAGTACCTTGAAGAAAGCCCTGAAAATATAAATTCACTATTGACAAAATGTAAAATAAATAACTTCAGTGCTTATGAACAGTGTTTAATTATGAATAATATCTCGTCATACACCAAAAACCTGCATTTTTGTCCTTGTAGTGTGCATTAGTGTTTGTCAGAAGGACAAGTGGACAAAAGTTTCAAAACTTCTTCCTCCAAAAGGCCTTTGAAGAAACACGCAGCTAATGCTCTTTAATGACACTAAACCTTTAGCTTGACTCTGCAGGAAGTTGCGTCCGAAATAATGCCTACACATTATCTTGTGGGATTATGCTTGTAACCTTTTATGTTGACTTTCCCTTGAGGCAGAAGTAGGAGAGAGGGAGTGGAGGGGTGTAGAGCGAGAGAGAGAGAGAGAGAGAGGGAGGGAGAGAGGCCTCAAGTATGTGGAGTGACTTCTGGCTTTGAGATGCTGGTCACAGTTAAGTAGAAAATAACACCAGAGTCAATCATCCGCGGTCGCCCACATGCCTTGCAGTGACACACTCCAATGCACTCAGACATCTGTATGCATCTCCACTTGCATGCACTCACACATGCATAGGCACAGAGATGCAAAGTGAGAATAATCTGTATTGATGCCGTGTGTCTGGATGTGCCAGAGCGTGTGAGGAGCTGTCCATCAGATGTGCCACACATGTCATTAGCGATGGCTGGCGGTGCTGAAGAGCCTGCACGGCCTGGAATATGACACGCTAATACTCTGCTCGACAGCACCAAACACACAGACGGAGCCCGATCCTCGTAGGGATCACTCAGCACCTTCATGGTTTCACACCAAAATGCGCATCATAACGTTTAGTCGGTTTCATTCTCCTAACTGTCATTGGTTCATGCGTGCTCACTCCCAGACATACTCTTTGACTTATTCATGACTGTGCTGCAGTCTGAACCCGTGCTCAGTTACCACTTGTCATCTGCTACATCACATTCAATGTGCAGCACATTGACACGACCTGATTCCATATGCATTTCGCCAATTTTGTCAGATGTGCGTTGGAATACACTCTGAGCTGTTTTGCTTGAATCTTGTGATTAAACATTGAATGGAATGCATGTGCTGTGGTGGAAAGTGAGCAAATTGACATGATTCATAAGGGTCTGGATTTGAGTCTGTTTAATAAACCTCTTCCATCTCAGCTTTTTTCCCCCTGCATTTCCTATTCCTTTTTTCCACCCATAACCCTATTTTGTCCTGCTTCTCCCCTTCTCCTCCATTTTTTCTTACATTACTTCCCCTTGTTTTTCTTCCCCCTAATGTTTTTAATGCTTCCTGCCATCTCTTTTTTTCCTTATTCTCTCATCTTACCTTCTGAACTTCTCTCCTCTTCTACTGTTCACTCAGGGCCCGGACCAGTGTGCAAAATGCCTGCACTTCAAAGACGGACCCAACTGTGTGGAGAAGTGCCCTGATGGGTTGCAGGGAGCCAACAGTTTCATCTTCAAATACGCCAAAGCCAACAATGAATGTCATCCCTGCCATGCCAACTGCACCCAGGGGTAAGAGCAGGATGATTCATAAAGCTAACGTGTGCCTGTGTACAAAATACATTTCTCCTAGGTGTTCTTGAGGGTCCTATATCTCTTTTATGCTGTTCAAAGTGTCGTGAAGACATGGTGGACGGCACCTGGGCGGCCCAGCGGACATGCCGCTCAGCTTAAAGACAATCAGTAACCCAGTCATGGATTCTTTCTTCTTTCTTTGTTCACATGATATTTCCAACTTCCAACTTGTTTTTTTAGTAACTTAACTTTTCTTGGATCTTGGATAAACATAGTTTCTAATAGGTAAACTTTTACAATTCAACATTAGGAAATATGTCAAAGAAATAGCGATGATTTGACACATGAGCTTCTGAAAATCATATTTAATATATATGTTCTTACAACAATAGTTGAAATCATCTAGCCTATAGCCCTCTAACAAAGGTAAGGCATTTGCTTGTTAACCTAGTGCTGCTGCTCTGTACACCTAGGCCTACGTATGTCTTTCACACTGAAATTGAAGTAACATCAATGATGCCACTGTTCAATGTAGGTCAGAAAATAAAGTAAAAAAATAATGGTCAAGGGGCTCATGGGGAGCTAGTGTTTGGTCTGAGCAAACAATGTTCTGAAACCTAGCAACAGGAAGAGAGGCACGATGGCAAAGGACTCGGTGTTCT